TGCACTCGAATGTCAAACGAAGCGTAGACAATAAGCAAAAGTAACACTAAGCCTATTGTCTGTGGCCCAAAATGCATACAAACAAGGCGCGATAGAGACACTACCTCACTAGACGGCAGAGATCCCTACATACGGTTGACAAAGACAAGACGCTGGCAGGATTAGCCCAGTTTGAATCCCGAGTTCAAGCACGCAGGTAAGACTAGAGGCCAGCTGATGCATTCGAGCAGTTCATGAATGAAGTTTTGCAAAACTATTTCTGCTGCACTAACTCTCGGCACAGCCGGCAACTGGCCTCCTTGCAAACGTTGGCGGTGTTGGCGTTGGCGGCTTCCTTAGAGCGCTCAAAGAGGTGTCGCTTTGTATGGTCCGACGAGGGCTTAGAGCAGTTCGATGGTTCCTTATGCCATTGAGTCTGACATTCTTCTTCATTCTTTTTTTTTTTTTTTGCTTTTTAGCGCTCTTTAAGATTTTAATCTGCGCCTCTCTTGTCTTCTGAGCCGCTTGTTTGTTTATAGTTGTTGTTGTTGTTGTTTCAGTTGCAGCCAAGTAGAAAATCTCTTCGAGGAGTGTGAGAAATTAAAATGTCATCAAGATTGTCATCATTGGCTATTTGATGTGACAGCCGCTGAAACTGTTGCTCTTTGGGACAATCTCAACGCGTTATCTGCAATCCGTTCAAGTTTAAATGTTGTCAATTTTAACAAGATCTGAGCCACAGATAAATATCGATGACATCAGCGATTGAATTTGGTTGCGTTTCACGAGAAGGGAATATTCTAAAGTGTGCCAGAAATTCACAATTGGAACTATTAAGAAATGTTAAGGAACTTTGCTCTAAATAAAATAATTTATGAAATCATCAGGTTGGGATTAGGAGTTGGGATTAATAAAAAAAATTGTAATTGAACGAATTTACCAGGTGATGAAACGCTCGAAATAAAGCATTTAAAAGTGGAAGGAACTTTTATCTATGATTATATTAATAAGCTGTTAAGACATTGAATAAATACTTTATTGTGAAATAAAACAAAGGGTATACCAGTTCTCTCTTAAACAAGAATGAAATGTTTCTTGCATTTACATTTTATATACATATATCGAATAGACATTTAAAGCACGGAAACAAATGGAATGAAACGAAATATTAATTGTGAAAACTAAGACTGTGAAAATAAAGTGAATAGTGGAATGAAACGAAGCTCTATTTTTTAAAAAATCTTTCACTTAAATATCCCAACTACTCTTAACTTTCTAGCCTTCCATTGACCGTTTGAGGCAATGAAATATCATAAATTTGCAATAAAATTTTCACACACTCACACCTCAAGAACCAGGAAGGCATCAGAATTGCTTAATGAACACATCAAAACAGCAACTAAAATTGCATTTATGTATATGTTCTCGGGCAGTTGAGAAAAATATCATTTGGTGGCAAGCAAATTGGTCAACGCCTTAGAGGAACTCACGAAAGTATCGCATCGCAACGCCTCAATGGCTCTCGATCGACTTACAGTCGAGTTGCCCCGAAAAAAATTCACAAATTTGAAATTTGAGCAGGCTGAGAAAAAAATACACACACACACACAAATAATATTGGCAAACCAAGATCCGGGGCTTGGGCTTGGGCCAGGGCGTATCTGTCAGATACAAGTACTTTTTGCAGTAGCTGTGCCAGAGCCGACGGCAATGCGTCATAGCCAAATGGCCGCGTTGGCGGCTGTAATTTTAGCCAAGCTGCGCGACTGGGCTGTCAAAGCATTCACAACATTTGACAGCCGCATGTCAGCCAAGATTTGTTGTGCCCATGCATCTGTGTGTGTGCATGTGTGTGTGTGTCAGTTGTTCTATTTCAGCGTATTTGCTCTCTAATTGCATTGACAATGTTTTTACAATAAATTGCGCGCACGCCAGTTAGCCAACAGCATTTGGGTTAAAACAATCACAATTTATGCTTAAGTCAACTTTCAGAGGCGTTCGTCTGTTACAAATTTGTCAGCATAGGGCAATGTATGAGAAATTCGTGTGCAAACCGCAAATGCTAAGCGGATTTGACAAGCATTTCTATATATATATTTATATTGTGTATATATGTATATATGTATATGTATATATATAGATATTCCCAAAATGTGCTACATCTGCTTGAGTTGGACTCATATTTTGGCCATACACTTTGTTTGCTACAAAGTTCTATGCCTTTAACAGCAATTATGTAATCTCATTTATGTTAATTTCAGCTGTGAGACGACAAATGTCTAAACATATTTCATATTATTCATATAGCTTTTAGTTTGTTTTGAAAATTTGAGCTAGCGCTTGTCGACTTTTCTTCCAACTCTCTCATAAATATATTTGCTTTTATAATTTTGTAAGGAAACGATATATATTTAAATATATTTGTATAGATTTCTGGACTTGAAAAAATTTGAATTTTATTTCTCTAGAATTTCTTACTTAATTCAACAATATCTATAATCAATATCTGTGTTTGCTTTTCAGCTACTGAGTGTAGTTAAAAAATTTCTGCTGAAGAAATTTGTTACTCTATTTATAGCACCTCGACGCGAAATATTTGGTGATTATAAGAACTGCTCTAGACATTCAGCTTAATTATTATAACACCTTTCAGAGCATACGCTCTTCAGCTGCAGTTTTTTGTTTCTCCTTCGTTTTGTTATTCTGTTTGGGTCTGTTTAACATTTTTGCTTTGGGTATGAATAATGATTTCATTTTTCCCATAAGCTAATTTATACAAGTGGATGTGGGGCATGTGGGGCCCTTGCCGCGATTTAGAGGATTAGTCAGGCTTGCTTTCATAATTCTCGAAAAGCAGAGCTCGCTCGGTCACTACCTGTGCACAGTGTCTCTGCCCATGTGTGTGTGTGTGTGTGTTTGTGTTCGTCTGTGTGTGTGTGTGTATCATCTGCATGCTTGGTATAAAAAATATGCAAGATGACAGTTTAATTTTATGGTTTGTCTGCTGCTGATCAGTTCTTTATGCGTTGAAATTTTATTTTTATTTTTTATATTTGTATTTTTATTTTTTATTTATTTTTTTTTTTTGCTTTTGGCCGCCTGGACACCCTACTGCCCCCAACATCTGGGGCTTAGCTGAGGTTATGCGGGCAAAAATGTTGTTCTTGTTTCTGCTGCTGTGTGCGCGTGTGTGTGTGCGTGTGTGTGTGTTTGTGTGTTGTGGGGCATCTAAGGAATTTAATTAATTTCAGCGCGACTTCTATGGGACAAATGGGCGTGGCTAAGCGGCAGTTATGCCGAAAAGCGCGCTTAGCGTATGCTTCCAAAATATTTTTCAAGTGTGTGCTAATAGTTGCCCAGACAACAACTACAACAAAGAGCCAACAACAATGGCTGCCAGCCAAAATAAGCCTCATTTATTAACTAGCTTCGCTCGTCGCACGTCACAATAAGCTGCTTAGCCACTGAACCATTGCAGAGAGGGTGTTTAATAGAGTGAGAGAGTGAGAGAGAGTAGACATTATGCAACAACTTAAGAGCACTGCGCTCTATAACTCCCATACAAAATGGCTACTTAGCTAATAGACCTGAGATCTAAAAAGGGTTGTCGAAAAATTGTTAGTAAAATTTAACCCCTGCCGTTTTTTATGCAGTTCCAAATGAAATTATAATGCCCAACGTTCACACACACACACACACAGAGACACACATACACGCTCACGTGATAAACGAAATATGCCTATATATAAAATTGTTTTGACATTTTCAAAGAGTGCGTGGCATAGTTTGGTATTATGTTAAACAACCCCTGCCCGATATCAAGCAAAGTAAAGTAGCTGCTCGCCAAGCGTAACGGCTGCGCATCCGATCGAAGAGGGCGAGGGTGAGCGGTTGCCTGTAGAAGGGTGTTGCTAATTATAATGCATTTGCTAGATTAATAAATATGCATGCATGCATGTATGGGTGCCATGAGGACAATAAGGACGGGCTTTATAGAGCATTAGCTAGCTATTAGAAAATGGCAGGCGTTGCATAAGGAACCGACAAAATGGTTGAACAGACAACAATTTCTTGCTAATTGGGTTGAATATCAATTGAAAAACATATTGTATGTTGAAAATATGTAAATTATAAAACAGCTTAGGATATGTATATGAAAAACTGGTAAATTGGGAAATTTATATTTTATTAGTATTTTAAATAGACCTGCATGTAATATTAATAAAATGTTAATTTAACTAAATGTATATATGTACATATGTTGTTTCATAAGAAAATTTTTGATAATCAAAATGCCGACAACTGAATAAAATATATTAATTATTTAAGCATAAAGTTTTAAATTCTGGTATTTTAAAGCAGCTAAAATGCAGTAAAAAATTTATAAACATTCTCATAAAGCTGCAATAAATCTTGCCCAATTTTGAGCTGCAGTCAACTTTTAGTTTTCTAGTTGGCATTTCGAGAATTTCGCCGTCTGTGGCCACCAAACTCAGCCAAAGATCTAGAGGCAACTGTCAGATGCTCGAACCGCAGTTAAAATTTATATACTTTTTACATTTTGGCCGGCCAGTTGCCATAAATCTGTGCAGCTTCGAAAGGCGTTGTCATAAAAATAATATTTGAATAATTCATTGACTGCGCTACGCCTCTCCGCTCCCGCTCCGCTTCCATGCAGCTAATCGAATGTCATGTTAAAATTGGTCACATTTGGCACATTTTTAATTGAGCGCAGCGAATGGCAAACATGAGGAGCTGCAGGGATAAACCAGGCAACAGACAACAAGCCAAATGACGAATTTCAATGCCAACTTTCCGGCTAAAAATGCCTACGTCATTGGCCAAAAACGTTGTGGAAATTCACAGAGTGAGAGAGGGAGAGAGAGAGAGAGAGAGAGAGACATGGCATGTCAGAGACTGAAGCAACCTAGAGCCCAAACATAGCGTAGCTAATTGATTTTCAGAGTTCTAGAGAGTAGCGCTGAAGTCAGCACGAGATATTGTCCAGATCCTGCAGAGAGCACACACACACACACACACACACACTATGTAAGCTGGTGTGTGTGTGTGTGTTGTAGGTGGCAGGTAGTGTGTGTAGCTAATCAGTCCCAAAGGCAGGAGGCACTGTGCAGGTTTTTGTGCCTTTGGCATTGTTCTCTCGCTCGGCATCGAAAACAAATTCTGAGAACTTAAACAGCAAACAGTCAACATTTTATGCGCAAATATAAAAAGTTATTTTCGACAGTCGCTGTCCGTCTGACCGTCCGGCTGTCTCGCTGTATGTCCGTTTGTCGCACTGTCTTTGCCTTGTTTGTTTGAAAATCGTTGAACCCAGCAATAAAGTCATCAATCATTGACATTTGCAGCGTTTGATATCTTGTCTCGCATTTGAAAAATTATGTGGCTGGCGCCGAGGTGAGCACCAAGAACGCGCTAACAGCGCGCTGTAAGCTAACAGTGCTGTTAACCATGGAGTTTCACTCCAGATATATAAGTATATATGTATATGTAGTCGTAGTTATCGATAAACGACCAGATCGTATCGTCTCAACATTTTATATAGCTCTTTCAGTTTGCTGTATTAATGTCTGTATGCGAACAGCAGGATATAGCTATATAGACTTCGTATACTTTATGTTTATACGTGTTGTCCTTACGATGTTCCATTCTGTATTTCATATTCATTTTGATAACTGCAATAAACTTCTCTCGCAACAATATTCGCTGACTACGAAGCTCAGAAAGGAAATGTGGTGGGAAATGGATTTTTTTTGTTGCTCCTTTTTTCCACTACAAGACGAGTTCATAAAAGACTCATTAAAAAATCACTTGAGCACAATTAAATCGAGTGGCGGACTCAGGAAGCAGCAGCTAATCAACGTTTACAAGGGTCCGCAGCCAGCAGCCAGCAGCCAGGAGCAAGGACATGGCTAAATGCACAACAACAAGGAGCTGGCTGCACTTGCTAGAGGCCAAGAGGCGAGAAAGCGGGTGGGCATGGAGATGGCGGAGAGGCGGTGTCAACATAAACATAATCAGCTTGCCTGGCAGCGGCAACTGCAAAACTAACCACAAAGTTGTTGGCCATTCGGGAGCAGCTGCTCCGGCTTTTGTAGGTGTTAATGAATAAAGTTGTTGTTTGTGGTGTAGCAGCCGCAGGAGTGCATCGAAAATAAAAATAAAAACCCTCTCCAGAGCAGCGCACAGATGGAGACCGAGAGAGTGTGAGAGAGAGAGAGAGAGAGAGAGAGAGAGAGAGTGACAGACGTTGAGGGCAGCTATAGAGTGAGCCATGTAAAAGCCGCACACCATGATAAACGCCATTCATGTAGCTCCAACTCGATACACACACACACACAGATAAAAGCTGTTGGGCAAGGTGTCAACTGGCAGGCAGAGCAATAACAAAGCAGACAAACGTTGATTGTTCTGGCTGCTCTTTCACGTTGCTGTTGTTATTGTTGTTTTGACTGAGAGCACACAGAGTGCAGGCATTGGGCAAATGACAAGTGCAAAGTTAACAGGCCACAGAAATGGGGTACGCAGACAAAGATGTAAAGATTAATTACATTAGTGATGGCCAAAAGCCGATAGGCAACAGTTGAGTTCGATAATGCAATCAACATTATGTATGGAGAAAACTTTCAATTCGATAGTACGAGTGGCTACAAATTCTTAACGTTTTCTATTTTTTTATTTATATGCCAACCAGTTTTGCAGCAGATGCTACGCAAAATAAAATAAATATATAAACTAACAGTTTTTGCTGTGCATAAAATCCGCTAACTTATGGCCATAGAGATCTAATAAACTTCGAGCGGAAAGCACAATTTATCATCACTGCGAAAAAAAGACACAATCATACGATATGAACTGCAGCAAAGCTCACCGATAGTAAAAAGACTTGAAAAAAATATTTTAATGCAATTTACAAAAGTATTTACGCACATGCAAACTCCAAAAGCCACACGAAAAATAATAATATACCCTGGCAAAGAGTCTTTAAGCTTATCCTGAATTTTGCAGCATATTGAAAGGGAACACCTTAAGGTAGCATAAATTTTCTGGAGCAGTCATAATGATATCCTATATTACCTTCCATTTGATATACGTTTATTGTATTTATATATATAAAAATGTTCAAATTTCATTAGTCAACTATCTGCAAGGGTATTTTATGTTCGCTACTCCGAAAGCAAATAACCAGACTCTTGTTAAAGCTCACGCCATTATGGAGCGAACGGGAGGGAAGGAGAGCAAAGCTAAAATTAAAGCAAACAAACTGCGTAAAATATGCCAAGCAATATAAACGCCATTTTGTGGATGGCCTGTGCGTACATGTAGCGGTTCTTGTTGTTGTTGTTGTTGTTGCTGTTGCTTTTGCTGTCTAGCTGCCTGCCTGGGCTGCCTACCCTAGGCTGTAATCTCTACTTTCTATGTGTATTCGTGTTTGTGTGTCTGTATGTGTGTGTGTGCTCGCTGTTTGTTTGTATGCAGAGCGCGCTTTTAATAAACGAAGGCTGTGTTAAGGGCAAACAAGGATAATACGACGCCCACTCTCTCGTGCTCTCGCTCTCTCCCTTTGCATTCCACTCTGTTATTGCTGCTGTTTGTTTTTGTTGGCTTAGCTTTCATTTTGGCACACGCTTTGCTGCTGCTGCTGCAGCTGTTGTTTTTTTTTTTTTTTTTTGCGTTTTCATTATTGAGCTTTACACACTCTGGAAACTTACAAGTCGGTTTAAAAGGGTCGCTATACCGAAAATG